TTTAAGGTGTATAGAGAGATCATCCATCGAAATAAAAATTATTTTTCATGTCTAGACATCAAATAGAAGGCAAATATTTATCTACCAAAAAAAAGGGGCAAATATTTAACCATGAATTTACTACTTTTCAGTTTTGGAATTAAATGGCATAAAAATATAAGAACGCCACTAAAATAAATAGTAGGAGACCCGATATCCAAAATTTTATAACCCAGTGGAAATCGAGAAATTAATAAATAATGGGCTAACCCAAAATCATTCAAAGGGTTAAAGAAATGGATAGGGAATAATAAGCCCAAGAAAATCAGATAAAGGATTCAAATTCTTTATACAATCAGCCCTAGCTTTAATACACGAAAATATATGATATTGTCATTCGTATTCGTAGGCGGATATACATATTTCATGTGATTTATATGAAGAAAAAATCTAACACATTGTCACCTGACTTTCTGAAATGATAATATATGTAAGATGTATACAGAGGTAATTAATTAAGGAAAAATGAATTCAATTCTAAGTAACAATTAACTGTGGAGAGAATTTTTAAATATTTGAATTTGAAGTTGACTTTGTAGTAGCGTTGTGTTTTTCTTCTAATATTTTTTTTAACATGCAAGTATTAGTCATTTGAATTACAATAACCCATTTTCATGTGATATATGATTTTTATATTTTTATATTTTTTATTTTTATTTATCAAGTATATAATCTTTCGTATAATTTATTTTTATTTTTATTTACAATAACCCGTTATCTTTTTATTTGAATTACAATAACCCATTTTTTTTATTACAAAAAAGAATGCATCAAAATAAACTATGGGAAAAGATATAGTTTTAATCAAAGCAAGTCATTACAATGAGGTCAATACAATAGTACATTTTTTTTTTGGCAAAATGCACATACCAAGGTCAAAATCTCAGAAGAGTTATTCAATAAGCACAACAGGTTATAAAAATAAGGAAACATAATATTATATTTTCCTTTGGGCAAAATGCAGAAGCCAACCTTATATGAATCAATCAATGAGTATAACATTGAGTTTGAAAATCTATCTGCTTTGGGCAGATAGACATCTAGACCAATTAATGACCCTTTAACAATTTCGTCTATAACCTTAAAAAAATTACTCAGTAAACATACATTGGCTTCAGAGATTTGTCCTCTTTGAGCAGACAAATCACCTAAATCAATGCATCTTCAATAACTTCATCTCCAATAAGCTTCTAATCAGAATATACAATAACCTCTTTGGGAAAAAAATCGTATGAAATAACTAGAAACATTATTCAAATTACAAAAAAAATTCTATAAATAAATACAAGTAATCCCACTTTGGTGGTAATTATCTATAGTAATATATATAAACTCTTACACCTCTTGCTCAAAAATATAATACAATCCATAAGGTGTAACACCATCACTAATCGCATTGGCAGACATGCAATGTTGCCTCTGTGGGCAAGTGCACACAATAACTATTTTTTTTTCTATTAAAAAGCTACAGTTGATTTAGTATTAGACTTACTCAATTATTATTTTCTCTTGTCTTAATGGTTGGTATTGTGGTCATGTACCCAAAAGTCAAATTTTTTATTCTTATATTTAACCTTTTGCAAATGTAAGATAAGGTTATCTATTGTATACCCTTCCATGGATCCTATACATGGCGAGAGATTTAAAAAAAAAAAATCGGGGCCCGACATTAAGTGTGCAGACATAAATAAAATTTTCTGGATCCGCCACTGACTGATCATGAATTCAAATACAATAGCATTCCAGAAAATGCACTTAAACAGTTCAAGCGAAAACACACAACTCAATAAATAAAAATATTCTATAAATTATATATCAGCATTTCTTACAATTTGACCTAGTCAATAACTCAACAATGACATAGTTGTTGTTAATGTTCAAAGTAATTGATTGACATACATAATGCAACAAGATTAAATTTGGACAGATAAACTTTTAAATTATACATATTTCTCCATAATACCACATGCAATTTAAAAATAATTTATCTATTTTGGATAGATAAATACTTTTAAATCACGTATTCTCATCAATAATTTCTTCAAGCAATTTTTGAAATTTATATAAAACCCTTTTTGAGCAGGTAATTAACATATAATAATTCAAAATAATAGATCAACAACAATGCCCAACAACATGAAACACTTCACAACATGTGTTTTTAACAACACGAAACATTTCACAACATATGTTTACAAAATTGATATTGCGTTTGTCAATCCAACAAATTTTGCCATAAAAAAAATCAACACTTAACATTAAACTATAAGACAAAAATTACTAACTATGCTTAAGTAGGAGAATGACAACAACCTCACTCAATTACAGGAAAGTGAATATTGTCATCAAGTTCCTGGCCTGGCTTGACCTGTTAGCCCAATGTAGGCTCAAATTATAAATATGACTTAACCTATATTTAAAAAACAAAAATCTTGACATGTTAGCCTATTTAAGCCTATTAAACATTCAATAATTAAAATGATATTACTTTAGTATTCAAAATCATTGAAATAATAATTTTATTTATTTTAGGCTTGATATGATTTGTTAACTTTACGTAGACTCAAATTATAATTTTGATTTGCCCTATATTTAAAAAACAAAAAACATTGGTCTGAGGTGTTAACATATTTAAGCCGTTCTATATGTCTGTAGGTTCTAATATACTACCTGCCCGTGGTGGAGGCAGGATTTTTTCCGCGAAAAATTAAATATTTAATTTGCGTGTGTTCGATTCGGTCGAGTCAAAAGTTCCTGCCTGCTAGGGGTGTTCATAAACCGATCCAAACCGATTTAAACCGCAAAAACCGAACCGAAAAACCGAAAACCGAAATAAGCGAAAACCGAAAAACCGAAAACCGAAAAAAACCGAGAAAAATTACTGGATTGGATCGGTTTTCGGTTTTGATGTTGAAAACCGATCCAATCCAAACCGATCCAAACTTTTTTTTACCAAATTATACCTATTACCTGTCCTAAATAATAGCCGGCCCAAAGTTTTAAACCCACCCGTGCGTTAGCCCATCAGTTTTAAACCCACCCAAAGTTCTAAACCTAATCCATCCAAACTCACTCTTGCCGTCCTCTCAGTCTCTCACTCTTCTCAGTCACTCACGCTCTGGCACCAGTAGCATATCTCTTTCTTCTCAAAAATCAACGTTTGTCTCTTCCGTTAAACAGCCAAATAAACATATAGCAAAGCAGTAACACTTGATTTTATTTGCATCAAGGGCATGATAAAGGTATAGCAAAGCAGATTTCTAAATTTCTTCCCGTTATTCGTGTGATGAAGCAATAATATTTTCCTTCATTTTTTGTTGGTTTCAAACAATCGCCTTTTATTTTGTATGGCTGTGACATAACGTTTTTAAGATCTCTCGCGTTCTCTGTAGTTCTTCTGCTTCTAATCCATGTGAACCAATTCTGATAACCGTTTCACATAATCTTTGATTTTGTGTGGCTGTGACACAATCTTTGAGCCTTTAACTGATGTACAAGACATGTGAACCAATTCTGATAACCGTTTGAATTTTGAAATGTTTTGAAACATCGTCACATTTTAAAAAATAATTCTTTTAAGTTTTGTTTTTTTGGCTTTCCAAAAAATCGAAAACCGATCCAATCCAAACCGAAAAAAATTGGATCGGATTGGATCGGATTTGAAAAAAAATTCAAACCGATCGGATGATGTAATGACCAAACCGAAGGAATTGGATCAGATGATTTTTTGCTTCAAAACCGATCCAATCCAGACCGCGAACACCCCTACTGCCTGCGTAACAAGGCTATAGGCTGAACACAAGCTGAAGCTGCCATCACCTGTTACGGATCAAATGACGTGGTCCTTTCCATTTGTAGTACATGGCGGCAACACATTCGCTATCCTCCACACTGTTGTTGGCATTATTCAAAATTGGGCATTTCAACGATCAACCTCAGGGCCAACCTATATGGGGTTAGGATGGGTACTCGTCTTCCTTTAAAATATAAAAATATGTTTTATTATAGAATAATATTTTTCTTATGTTATTGAAGAGAGCTTACCTCATGTTATAGATCCTTCAAAATTTGAGCCATCAATTTTTTATTTTCTTTTTCTTTTTGTTATAGTGTAGGACCCACTTGAAGATGTCTCTATAGGAGATAGTCTTGTCTCCAATGACATAAGAAAAAGCAATCTCTTTATTATATGATAAGTAATATGGTCTAAAAAAGCAAAATTTAGAAAGTGCTTTTAAGAAGTGAAAGACAAACGATATTATTCATAAGAAAATATTTCACTCATTCTTTGTACTGAATTAGAGATAATTATTATTTACTAGATTCCACCTGCCACTAAATATGGTAGGTTTTGTTGTTGGTCTGTTATCATCCCCAATCAATGTGAAAAGTTGGCTTTTTCGTTGTATACAAAGAAGAGTTCAGTTAGTAATGCATATTCACTCCACCTATCAAATTTGTCTAGAATTTGATTTTATATTGATTGATTATCTAATTTTCTTTTTATAATTATTAAAAATTTGTACATATTGTCATGTCAGAACTCAGGAGAAGAGTATTTAAGTTTTGACTTTGTTGGCAAAAAAAAAAGTTCAGTAGTAGTTATCAATTATTAGTTGGGACCAAATGCTAAAAATAAATAACACATTAATAAATTATTGTGTCTTCTGCTAAATTACAGCTAAGGCATGAAGGTAAACAATAAAAAATTAATCTTATAAACAAAATATAAGATCTTAAGGCTAGTTTCTCATTGAAATAGAGGATGCTTTGAACCACTGTAAAAGTTGACATTCTAACCAAAAAATTGACAAAAAATTATGTAATTTTATTAAGTTCTTCTTAATAGGTATTTTTATATGCTTAGCGTACTAACATTACCTTTCCATAATAATAATATAAATTTTCACCTCCTATCGTATAATTTTCTGGGTCTGCAGTCCTTCACCTAACTTGTTAATATTTCTCCCAATGCATCTCCTTATAAAGGCCGTGATCCTTCTCTGCTACAATCCTTCCCAACCTTTCTCTATGCCTCCGTTAAGGATCTTCACAAAGACAAGTATAGCCTCGAATGCGCTATTTGCTTGTTGGAGTTCGAGGAAGATAGCATGATGCGCTTGTTGACAGTTTGTTGCCATGTCTTCCATCAAGAATGCATTGATCTCTGGCTTAGTTCACACAAGACATGCCCTGTTTGTCGTACGGATCTTGATTCACCAACCAACGAAACGCGAAAGTCTCATGAACTCGGCGAGGACTATCTTCAAGCAGAGGAAGAGAGAAGGAATGAAGTGTGTATTGACGATGTAAAGGAAGGGGAAGATCAAAGAGATCAAAGAAACGATGATGATGTGCATGTTTCAATGAGTATGATGAGCCTGCAACGGTCACACTCAACGGGGCATTCCATAGTAAAGATTAGAGGAGGAGATAATGGAGGAAAAAGTGATGATAAATATGTTAGAAGACAAACCCAGCTTTGTTTTAGTCCCCACCATCTTAGCTATGATTGAAAACAACTTGAAACTTCACTATAAATAATAATTTGAAAGCTCCAAGACAATATGATTTATGCAAGTTATTATTAAGTTAAAGATAAGAATGATTTGGATGGTGGGTGACAAAAGAAAAAAAAGGGAGCTAGACATAATTACATCTGGAACGTGAGATGCTGGACAATTATCCTTGTATTATTATTAGATAGTGCTGCGATTATTGTGAAAGTGGGACAACATTAGTCTGAGTAAATAATATATTTTGTATAATTGTGTGTAGTAAATTTATAATATATTTAAGTTAGGCAACAAAGTTGGCTCTCCTAGCTAGGGGTGGCAATACAGGTATTGACCCACGGGTTGACCTGTGACCCGACCCGTCAAAACGCGTGTCGTGTCAACCTACGGGTAAGAGCGGGTCGTGTACAGGTTGTATAAATGTGACACGTTTTTTTTCGTGACGGGTCACGGGTCAACCCGCGGGTTCACGTGTCAACCCGTACAAGGTTATTTTTGTAATTTTTATTATTTTTATTCATTTATATATTGATATATATAGTCATTATTAATTATATATTATTTTTTTATTCATTTATTTTTGTAATTTTCTGAAAAAGCAGAAGCTAGTTTATTTTTGTTGTTTTAAATTTATTTATTTTTAAAAAAAATCTCACTTTTTTCTAAATTTTAAATTTTAAATTTTAAATTCTGCGAGTCGTGTCGACCTGTGACCCGCAATGGGTCGTGTCCGAGTTCGTGTTATTTGACCCATTTACAAAATGTGTCGTGTACGGGTCGTGTCAAATAGTGTACGTGTTGAAGGCGTGTCGGGTCGTGCCGGGTTGACCTGTATTGCCACCCCTAATACTAGCTATAAATTGGAACGTGTCTAAAAAATTAGATTGTGAAGTGAGAGTGCTATTGTAATAGAAAAGAGAAAAATAATAAGAAATCAAGTGTGTGTGTAAAAGTGCCGTAGCACTTGTGAAAAAAAAAAACAGTGAATGAATTTGTGAGGAGATCTTTAATATAATTCAAGTGTGCTTTTTTTCTTTTGTGTTTCTTTGTTCTAAATTTCCAACAAAATATACGTTGAGATTGCCGGAACATGTAGCGGTGAAAATTGTAAGAGGGCACAACTACACCAAGAGTTGTTCAAGTTACAATGAGATGGCAAGGCCTGTTGCACCTTGTAGTAATTGTGGTTATATATGTTCAAACTGTAGTAATTTTTTTTTCCTTCAAATTTTTGTTAGCCCCCCGTGTCCGCCTCTGCTGCTCATTTAACACCCGTATTTGGGATGTTGGCTCGATTTAGGGGGTATGGTCTTGTGATCGTTGGAGCCTATTTGAATATTGTAAGAGCTATCCAATGTCACTTGTAACTAGGTTTTACTGCTATCAATGGTACGCTGTTATTGTTTATGTTGGATTTGTAACATTATATTATAATATATTTGTTATTTTAAATAATTTATGATATTTTCAGTTGAATACTCAAATTTGTATAGAGTTTGGACAAAGGTGAGGATGATGATGATGATTCAATTGTATTGTCAGTTTATTTTTCCTCAATTTATAGAGATTAATTGTAACTATTTTTTTTTTTACATGCAAATGATATTCTTATGATCCAACAGAATCATATCAATTAAAAATGAAATTAATTAAAAAATAAACCTTCAATTTTTATATATATTGCCTATTGATTTGTTGGCATTAGGATTGCAATTGCATCTGTTCTGCTGATACTAGTAGAGCTCTATACAAGTCATTGATGGGGATGTTAGATTTTAACTATCCTTATTTTACGGTTTACACCACTTCTAGATCAATCCAGTACTAAACTTTTAAGGTGATAATTTACTTCATATTTATCTAAACATCGCGTTAAAGATAATTCATCACTTTTTATTGCTCTTATATAAATATGGGACAAACACATAAGATAGATATGAATGGCTTTACCAAAAAAAGAAAAAGAAAGAAGAAGATAGATATGAATCGAGAGCACTTGCAATTTGTTTTACAAACTATTTTATTTTATTGCAGACAAGGGTTCACCGCAGTGAGCTTACATGCATATATTTTTTATTAGACTTACAAACTTCATTAACTGGAAGCAACAAACGCAGCATTCTAACTTGGAAAGTGTCATCATGCGGTTTTCCAAATTAACTCTTACTTTTTTCTCATGTGATGCACACGCAGGATCATAGAATTTATCAAGCATCCCCATATATTACAATTGGACTTCTAACTTGGTAATTGCCATCATCCCAAACCAAAGAGGCAGAGGTTATTTCCACATTAATCTTCCCAGTAATTATAACCGAGAATGACTTTTTCTGCCCAATAGATGTGAAGGACAGAACATCTGGTTTCGCTTGAATATCCAAGAATGATGGAAACATTAATTGGGCTTTATAACTAGATGTTGCCGATCCCACATTTATAACTGTACGATGGAATGTACGATAGAAAGAGGCGTTTACTTTGAGAGCAAATGATGGGAGATTAAGATCGTATACAGCTAACTTGTTAGCATTCTTGCTGCAATTAGCATGATCTGGAGTGAGTACTCTGAGCTTTTCATTTGTATACCCTTCACCGCATAAGAACTTGACATAATCTGCTTCGCTAATATCATATACTAAACCAGGATTTGCTGCCTTAAGTGGATTAATTTGCCCCGCTCCATATGCAAATTCAGCTTCAGGATTAAGAGCAGCACTCATTGGGCTTTTTTACCCTTATAACCCTTTATTATTAATTAATTACCGATTTGACCTTGATTATAAACTATTTCAAAAATTTAACCCCCTCAAAAAACATAACACCAATCTGCCCCTGTTTGACCGTTGACCACCAAGCCTACCCGGGTACACCCCTCTGTACCCGGGTATTTTTTGAAAATTTTTGTCTACCCGGGTAGGGAGGCGTGTACCCGGGTATTGTTCTTCGCACCTGAGAAATTGCTTGAATTATTTACCCGGGTAGAGAGGGGTGTACCCGGGTAAATCTTCAACCACCCGGTATGATTACTCTTTGGATCTCCCATGCACTCTTCTTCTCCAAGCTTTGAATATGGAGGCACCGACTATCACGTGCTCTGCCTCTGCAACTTTTTTGGGTCTAAAGCACACAAATATTTTTCAATGATTATTTCAGAAAGAGAATTTTCAGTTAACAGTATAAATCCACAACCACAAACCTTGTCCCATGCATGTCTTCCCTGAACGTGATAATTCGTCATTTACCAGTAAAATGAAAAGCTGCATGCTCACACTAAATTTCTGTACCATGAACCCTGTCTTTATTTTCTTTCCGTCTCACTCTCCCCAATAGACCCGGTACCACATTTATATATAGGAGCGCGATTTTGACGTACATAAAAGTAGACCCCATCATAATCGATACGAACAGGGACCGCTTTGATGAGCAGTAAAGTGTTGATGTATGGAAATTCCAAATCCATTCTCAAAGCTAAAAGCTCTTCAAATTGGTTAGGCATGCTTAACTTGATAATACTGATCTATCTCATTAGCTGTAAAAAAGAGAGAAAAAATACCAAATGGGTGGTCGAAGATTTACCCGGGTACACCCCTCTCTACCCGGGTAAATAATTCAAGCAATTTTTCAGGTACGAAGAACAATACCTGGGTACACGCCTCCCTACCCGGGTAGACAAAAATTTTCAAAAAATACCCGGGTACAGAGGGGTGTACCCGGGTAGGCTTGGTGGTCAACGGTCAAACAGGGGCAGATTGGTGTTATGTTTTCTGAGGGGGTTAAATTTTTGAAATAGTTTATAATCAAGGTCAAATCGGTAATTAATTAATAATAAAGGGTTATAAGGGTCAAAAAGCCGCACTCATTGGGGTAGCTGTTAATTGGAATGTAGCATAAACATGTTCCACGGTCATACTTTGCTGACTAATTATATGACATGTCAAGAAAGAATGGCAAAGAAACTCTTACTTTGTCATATATATATATATATATATATATATATATATATATATGAAAAGAAATCATTCTACATCATTATAAGTTATAATTTTATCTGTTGATTTTATTTATATTTGACAGATCTAATTTATTAGATATATGTATGAAGCTTTAGACACAATTAAATCAACAAGTAATATATATGCATATATAAATGGAGAGGAGTCGTTACCTGTGGTCATCAAGGCAGACTTGATCATAGCAGCAGACCAATTGGGGTGAAATGATTTGACGTAGACAGCTGCCCCAGCGGCATGAGGACAAGCCATTGAAGTGCCAGAAATTACATTATAGTTTACTAGTCTTTTGTCACCTTGGACATCTGAAATTGGGGACATTGGAGAATATGCAGCTATAATATTAACACCTGGGGCAGCGAGATCAGGCTACAATATCAACAAATAATTGCAATGAGCATTTTGACAGCTCCAAGACGACAAATTGATATGAATTATACTAATCATTGAAGTTACCTTAAGAATGTTTGGAGTAATTGGATTTGGACCTCTTGCTGAGAACGAAGCTACGTAAGGTGCTAACGAATTATTGACTTCTTCACTCCTGAATATGGTGGCTGTTGCATTCTTGCTAATTAGTAGCATGTTAAATGAGAAAGGTTGAAGTCAGTAAATTAACATTTAAATACAGATTTTGCTTGTTATCAAAAAAAAAAATACAGATTTTGCTAACAAATGTCTTGAAGAAACCGGGAAAAAAAACAAAAGCATTTAATGCACTTTTTCATTCAATCACTTGTAAATACATTCTAAAAAAATATATGACTTTTCAGATATAGTTACTGAATAATCGAACTATTTAAAAGATTTCCTAATACATAATTACATGACATGGATGTTAGACATTTTCCTTTGGGCAATATTAACTAATTTGTTTTCTGTTTTAAAGTTAATAGATATTTCAGTTATATTATTTTGACTAGTTCATTGTGATCGTATTAAGTCGGGCTTATGACATCGGTTAGTATTGGGTCTAGTTGGATAGCAGTGTAGACTTTAGTGTGATCTTAATTTTTTATGATGAGTGGACCTAGTGGACACAAACTCTTTTCAGAGTATTTGGCTAAGTCCTCTTTCTAGCCTATTTTTATCGGGGTAAAATCTCATGAGCCATCATGCTTCCATCACACAGAGGCTGTCACTTTCGAAATATGTGAGAAACACAATATGTAATTTTATTTTTCTCTGATTTTGTGATAACCCAATAAGGTATGCACAATCTCTATTTTGATTTCATATTGTTGAGTATTTTATAATTATATAAATATCTTGGAACTTTAAATGTAATATTTGGTATCATAGCCTTGTGTATATAATTATAAAATCCATGTATAAAATCCATGTTTTTAAATGGAATGAAAGAAATTGAGTTATAAAAGTTGAAACTTTATGCATTAATTGGTGAATTTTTTGTTCGACTGAATTGAGAACCTTAGGATTTTTGTTCTACTCAAGATGTTTCTATTCATATATATAAGGGTTTAACTTTTCTTATGTTGTAGGATTGTAGGAGAGAAAAAAAGTAAAGAGAAGTTAAATGTGGGTCCCATATTTTATATTAAAAAAGAAAAGAAAAATTATTTGGCACGGAAAACGAATTTATGTAGGAAAATGAGATTACCTCATATGACATGAGAGTATTATTTCCCTATATATAAACATTCAACTTTATAATTAAGTCCATAGGGACCTGTACCTCGCTGAAACAATGTAAGATTTTACGAGTCTGGCGTCGGTAAGAGTGAGAGCAGTGGAAGGCAGGGCATATGTACTGGGGAGGTCTTTCTCAATATCTGTACGTATAACAATAAAACCAACTGCACCAGACAAAAACCCAATATCTGTACCGTTGTAGTCATTACATAGAACGATCTTTCCCTTCACCAAACGTTTATCCAAAGTCTTCTCGCTGCAACTCCTGATCAATAATATATATATTAATATAAATATACGAAGTGGTGACAAAGAAAAATCGCATAACAATTCACATTTCAATACCCGGATGAGAAAATCAGGGGAAACATTTTGCCTTTGAGATCGAATGTGTTCATTGAAACCCCCTGTGTATATGGCAGAGTCAACCAAAATAATTAATATTTCTTCTGATTTTATATTAAGTATAAGAGTTAGTGTAAGTTGTTTAAATAATGATACCTCATAAACCATGCCATTGCCCAATTGAAGCTTGGTAAGGAACATTCTGTTAATAGTGGTAGCAGCCACAGAAAGTAACCAAGGGGGATAATTTGTCATAGAGTAAAGCTCCGGACCCTCATTACCTGCTGCATTTGACGTCAATATGCCTCTTTTCATTGCATGGAAACTTCCTATATTAATTCCTTCTTCAAAATACTCAGGGTGTACTGTGCCTCAAAGAAATGCAGAAGAGTCGAGAGAATTTGGAGAGAAGAAGAAAGAGAGCAATTGCATTTTGCATGTGTTGAATGAATTCACAAATGTAATACAGGATATGTAGTTTATATACTACAAGAATCATGAGTGACTCAGCACTCTTATGAGAAGACATCTGTTAACAGAAGCAGAACAGAAAGCTAACAAACTGACATCTGTAACAGAAAGCTAAACTGATACAAGCTTAGCTAAGCAAAAGCTAACTGAAGGCTACGCTAGGCAAAACTAATTGGAAGCTGCAGTGGAGCTAATACACCCCTGCAAACTCAGAGTATGTGATTGAAGGATGCTGAATCTACAACTCTGAGTTTGTCACGAAGAGAAGCAAAGCGGTGAGCTCCAAGAGGCTTGGTGAGAGTATCTGCGATCTGATCAACTGCTGGAACATGAATAACCTGTAATTCCTTGGCAATCACTTTCTCTCGAACAAAGAAGATGTCAAGTTCCATGTGCTTAGTGCGAGCATGTAAAACTGGATTGTGAGATAATGCTACGGTGCTGAGATTATCACAGCAGACAAGTGGAGTGCTAAATTGAACTTGCAGTTCTTTAAGTAAGGATTTTAGCCAAAGAATTTCAGCAGTGGCAAGAGCAAGACTTCTATATTCAGCCTCCGTGCTAGACCGTGCCAC